GCTAATGTAATTTAGGCCTAAGAATTAAAAAAATTAGAACCTCATACCCGGGGCAACGCCCGGGCCTAAGAGCTAGTGTATGTACGTATATACAGTATTAAAGGGTTTTTTTTTGAATACAAAAATATATAAATTTTACAATAATTGTCAAAAATGAACTTGGTTTACTAAAATTGTTTCATTGTTTCATTGTTGAGTGACGTAGATTAACGGAGAAAGAATGCATAACCTCCGGGCCAGTCGTTGTGTAACAGGACAGGGGTTATTTGCCCAAATATTATTTGTAACGCAACACAGAGAAAAAAAATTAACGTGTTAGATGTCACGTAAGTTCGTACGTAAATAAATGGTTATTACATTATAGAAACGTCGATCCTACAAACAACACCTTGTTATAATGAAGCAAAGAGACGATAGAAGTGACACTGCTAGTACTTCACCAAAAATTAAAGCAGAAAGACTTTCTCCAAGTCTCGAAACAGATCAATTGTTAATAATTCCGGAACCAAGATATGTTCGCGATTGGCTTTCTTCGTTACCAACCACGAATATATCAAGAACTGGCTCAGGTTCGACGACTATTGCTAATATTCAAGAACTTCATGCTGTTTGTATGTGAGCACAAGAATGCTTTATATTTGGTCAGGGATTATCGATGATCAGTTATTAATAAGAAAAAAAATCCGCTTTTCCAAAAAAAAAGCTCAAAACGATTCTTCCGATAAAAATTCAGAGAACAAAGAGCGTGTTGATAATCAAGATCTAAATGTCATTGTAACGAGTCAAATTTTTGAACAAAAGAATCATTTTACTTCTAAAAATGTCGTCGTAAAAGAAGAACCGATTGATAAAGGATTCAATCAAATATCGAAACGACGCACCACTGTGAAAAAATCGAGCTATTCACAGCAAATTAAAAGTCAAGGGAAAAGTAAGGATGGAAACGAGAAGGAAGAAGTTGAATGTACAGAGGAGATCTTACAGAAAGTTAGAGAAGTATGTATTACCGAATCGTTTGTGAGAGTATTTATCACATAAACACATTATGAATTAATTTGAATGAGCAGTTTGAGAGTCTCCTCGAAGAGTTTGATCGGAAGGCACTCGAAGCATATGATGCATATATGGATCTTAATTCTATGTTATCACCAGATATGGAGATTATTATAGATCTTCCTAAACATGTCAATAAACATGTTGTTCGTCAATTGATGGGATTCATTGACAATGATCATAGGAGTACGAGTAAGATTATTTTAAAATGATTTCACTTTAAAAATCTTAATAATTTGTCAAAAAAAAAGAAAAATTAATAATGGTATTTAATTTTTTAGCGCATGCAAACAGAAAGGCAAAAAAAAATACGAGCCAAGTTAATGTTGACTAATTTATTCGGATTATCATTATGTAACATCAATTGCAAATTTATTGCCTTTCTGACGTAATATTACTATAAACTACGTAATCAGCTAATCAATTAAATCACGCGTACTTGTTTACCTTGTGATACGTAGTCAAATTAAGTAAAATTATGCACAAACAACACTGTTTATGACATATATTAATTGTTGGCGCAGCATAAACAAATGTACTTGCATGTCTGTACATGATCATAAAACCATATAAACACGTACAAAAACCTATCTTAATTATTTTTGTTTTGCTTAAAAAGAAGCCCACGTTGCACTTTATTACTATTTGCGTATTTTCAACTTTCTTTCTACACATCCACCAGTCGGTTCTCTTATTAAAAAAAGCAACTTGGACCTGATTGATTGGATTGTGTATTACTAAAGTTTTGGTGAGTTTTTTATTAAGTGTAATATAATTTACACTTTTTTTTGACCTCGGATGTTTAAAATCCTCCTTAATTAATTGCCTGATTAATTCAATTTTTAAAATTCCTACTTCGACGATCAAAAAGAATTGGATCAATCTTTTAGCTCCGAAAATGATGGCTCACAAGTCTCCTGCCCCTTCGCCACCTACTTTTCTCAATGGTGATCATGAACATGAGCCACTCGTTTTTTCACCACCTCTCGTCTCTAACGGTATGCAAATTCATCAACTTTATAAAAATTAATTTAAATTTAAATTTAAATTCGTCGATTACCGTTACTCCCTTCTCCCTCCCTCGGTTTACTTTTCGTTAAACCAGTAAAAGGATATAACGAATCAGCTATAGATCCTGTATTCTTCACGGATCCTGCCATGGTGAAACCATCCGGTATAAATACTTTTATTCCGCAAAGCCTCCCTTTCTCCGTGAATTATAATTATCAACAAGCCGGAATTCCTCCACGTGCAGAAAATTTTACACCTATGCCGTTATCACATGATTATTCGGCTATGACCGATCAATTTCATTTTTCAACTCAATCATTAAGGTCTAAACAAATGCGTTATAATCCTCCACGAGTAATGCATTCTCCATTACCACAATCATCAATGATAACTGTTTATAGTTCAAAAGTTGCGTCGACTACACCTCTGAGAAAGTATAAATGCGACTACTGTCAAAAATTGTTCACTCGACCCAGTCAATTGAAAACTCACACGTACACCCACACTGGTGAAAAACCTTTTAAATGCAGTTTTGAAGGATGTGGTCGATGTTTCTCAGTCATTAGCAATCTTCATCGGCATGAAAAAATTCATGAAAAGCATGTGATTCAGCCTAGAAAATAATGAAATTTTTTTTATGAATTTGATTATATATTTTTGTTGTCAATTTTACTTTTATTGATTAAAAAGAATTAGCATATATATAACGTTTCTTTTTTTTCTTTTTTGGTCATGCTTAGACAACTTCCAAGCTTGTAAAATTAAAATTAAGATTTCATTTACTAAACATCTTATACATATTTTGTATAAATTTTGCATTACATCAAATTGTATGAATTTTCAAAATTTAAATATGTATGTTATTAAAGGGTCAATTCAATATTACAGTATAGTTATTTCAAATATTTTTATCTCGGTAACAACTACTCAAAATGGGGAATGAATAGTATAGAGAAAGATTTATTGGTAAAAGTATCTAAGGGTTTGGATGCAATACGTTCAAATTTTATTATAAGTACATAATAATGTATACTAATATATAAATATTAAATAAGGAAAAAAAACATTTATACAAAGATATTAATCACTTCTTTGCTTTTCAAGAGTTTTTTTAATTTTGGCAACCGTTTTTGTGGATTTCTTGGAACTTGATGTTTTCTATTAATTAATTTAATTAATTGTAACATAATGCAATATAGGCTGAATTATTTGATGAAAAAAAAATTTTTTTTATGCTAAAAATAAAAATAAAATATGAAAAAATCTTACCATTGGAAGCCAAAATGACCAAATAAAAGCTACGAAAAGCAAAAAACTACAAAAAAGACATTGTTCTAAAATAGAAATATTCGAAACCTTTTATTTTAAAAAAAAAATTGTTAGCATTAGAAATTTAATAGACTAAATATCAGTTATAGTCTAATAATGTACCAATATATAGGCTACTATCAAATTCAATGGCACTCTAAACAAATTTCCAACGGTAGCTCTTATGTTTTCGGAAATTACTTTTGCTCGAAGCGTTCCAATTAACGGAAAATAGAGACCACAAGTCACTTCGAACATAGTAAAGAAAATAAATAGGAAAAATTCATTCTATTATAAATAGAAAAAAGAATATTAATAATAAACCAAATATTAGTTATATAAATTTTATAAAAATATTTTACTTCAGTAAACAAAGGTAATAGTAGTGATATCGATGCGATAAAAAATATTCCACTCGCTATGTCGGATAAAGAAATATTCATGTAGTCACTTAAATGTCCATAAAGCAAAGATCCAATCATTATTGCAACCATAAAACTATTTTGTTGCATGACCAAAAAAAAAAAAAATTATTATCGAATAAATAAATGACTAATTGCAAAATATGAAAAAAATTTTCAATTTTTTGGTTAGTACCTAGCGAAAATCATACCAAAAGGTAGGTTTGAATCATCCGAAACATGATAGCTTTCTAAAAGTGGTCCCCACAAAAAAACAAAAATATACATCGATGCTTCGTAAAGAGACTGTACGGCACCAATTGCAAGGACATGGGAATCTTATTTAAATGAACTGACAAGTTAGAATGAAATCACTTATAAAGAAAATGACAAGACAATAATTACCATTCTTAATAACATTCACAGCCTGATAAAGACTCTGAAATGTATTTGTCTAATAATAGGAATGACCCAATTTGAAGAAAATTAAGAAAATTATCAATTTAATTTTTTAAAAAATGAATAAAAAGACCGTTCATAAAATGAAAGCAAGGTACATTTTCGGAAATATTCCCGTAATTCTCTTTCCAAGTAATCATTATCACAATGGCTGCCGTTACAAAAAAACCAATAGCTGCCAAAAAAGGTGAACTAATGCCATGACGTTCTACTAGCCAGTTCGCAAATAATCCGCTAAATATCGCCACCAAGCCATTACCAAAAGTTGCTTTAGAGAACGTATCGGAAAGTAATGATGATGAAAAACCTATTTGAAAAATTAGGTAAAAATTAAAATAAATGCAATTTTTGCTTTACATTTATTGATCCTTTCATACCTCTTGAAAAATGCTCACTGACCATCCAGGCCTCAAAAACTGAAAATAAAAGTGATGTACTAATTCCTCCTAGAATCCTGTAGATAGATTACCAAGTTATTTCTCAATAAATTATTAAATAATCATGCACGAAACCGGCAATTATAACAAACCTTCCAATCAATAAAATATAAAAGTTCGAGGATAAAATAATAAAGCAGGATGAAGAATAAAGCAACGTGAAAAGTAAACAAAACTTCTTCCGTCCACTAATAAGGTCATGTTAACATTAGATGTGTGATATAGTAAAATAGTAACCTTTATCAATAAAGCAAAAAGCCTTACAATTTATCAGCAGCAGAACCTATTATGGTTCCAAAAAAGCCGCTTGATAAAAATCCGGATATAAACAAAATTGCGATTTCGCCTAATTCAAAACCATAACCCTTGTATATAGCATATAGATAAGGGCCTTGAAGCCAATCACCAGCTGTTTTAACATTGTATATGAATTAATCCAAGGTAATTCATTTAAAGATTTTAATATTAAAAAAATATATTTGATCTATTATCTCAATGTTTAGTTATTACGTTACCCATTACAAGGAAATATATTGTCAAATAATTAAATCGAAAGTAATTGTATCCTTTTCCATTTTCTAATGGTAATCTTATGGCCTCCTTTTTCGAATCTCGAAGCCAAAAAATTAATATAACGCATAGCACAATTAATAATATAAATGTTTCTTTGTATAACATAATGGTAAAAAATGTAAAGTACAAAAAGTTAGATTGTCAGTGAAAGACGCATCGATGATCCCTTTTATATAAAATATTGATAAAGGGGTCTTAAAAAATAAGTTATCTCGTAATACTTATTCTTTTAACAAACTTCTTGCATAGAATATAAAAAAAAAAAATTCATAAGACTAGTAAAAAATTATTTATTTCTTGTAAAATTAAGAATTTTATTGTAGATATTGCCCAACAATGCTATAAATATATAAATACATATAGATTAATATTCTTTTCCGCCCTTACAACATTATATGGAACTAAAATCGTCTCGTTTCAACCCGTAAAGACGTTGACACATCACTATAAAAATATTTCGAAAATAGATGAATGCAAGAAACATTGAAGCATCTAGAAAAGTTTGTGTATATCGGAGACCACAATTAATCTTCTATACTTACTAAATTAAAATTTTAATAATGTCTGTCCGGAATAAAACCGAATCTGATTAGTCGATATTCGTGTAACATATTAATGTAACCTGTGCTACAGTACTGACGTGCCCTGACTGAGACTAGTAATATTTAAAGTGTGAACCCTTAAAACCTCTTATCTGGCTTTAATTTTGCTTGCATAAATTATACAGATACATATTCGATAAAAATGGTTTCTCAATTTGTGGATACCGGTCCGATCCGATAATTAAGTTGTCCAACAGATATCCTACGTACCAAAAATATATATATATATATGTATACAGTATATTATATCTACAATAACACTAAATCACACTACTAGTGTTCAACACCACATATATTTTTTAATAGTTTCGCTAGTAAAATTTAGAGTTGGGGTGCTGTTATAGGTTAAAGGTAAGGGTTAGGGTTAGAGGCAAAATTTAGTGTTGAAACATTTTTACTTAGAATATCCGGCATTAATTACTTAGCTAGCTTTTGAGATATTTAGTAAACCGTTATATTCATATATATTTATTATCCCTTAAATTAAACGATAGACTTTTGCAGACAAAATTTTCTTGTGTTTAAATGATTTAATCAAACATGGTTAGAATTTTGTCGAATGTCGAATTTTAACCGACAGAAATATGTAAATGATCTGGTAACGGCTCGCGATTTGACTTTTACAAGAAAAATAAAGGCGAGATGCCGTTAGAAATAGTTAAAATGGTATTAACTCAGAATTTTGCAGTAGTCTGGCCGGTAATAAATATTATTATACTTACATTAGATATTACGTAGGAAAAGCAATTTTGATAAATTTGTATTAAGAAAAATTTTTTTTTTTTTTCCAAAAGAGGTCTTTCCTCTATTCTCTTTATTAAAAATATGATTGAATTACATAGTAAGAATACATATTGATTTATAGGGGAATAAGAAGTTAGAGCTATCTATTTCTAGAATTTACTCACAACCCATTCTTGGCTAGAAGGGTCAAGACCTCTAGGCTATGCTATTGGGGTTTGTTATATTATAAGTAATGAATTGTTGAAGTCAGGTAAGTTGAAAGGTTGGAACTTGCTTTAAAGACTTGTTTGTTTTAACTTTAGTAGGTATTTGTTTTGAATTGGCATTTGTTGATTACATCGACTTGGTTTTTATATTTTTTCTTGTATTGACTTGAGAATTTTATAATGTAGTTTCATGGCTAAATTGGTATTGAGTTTCTGAGTTGCAAAAGGTTCTAATAAACTGTCGCAAATGATGTCTAGAGGAATTTGTTAAGTGCAATATATTTTAAAGAAGCTTTTGATAAATTGGTCGAGGTGTGGTGCTGACACCATGTGTTTTCTATAAATCTTGTTAACAACTTGAGTAATGATTTTTTTGAGTGAGGTCTGGTTGCTGGGGCAAGATATTAGGTGTGGAATATTTTTGATTTGGTTAGGACATTTTGCACAGAATAGATTAGGATAGTTTTTTGGGTCTCTGTCGAATAATACAAAATGAGTAGATAATTCATTAGTTATTAATTTTGTTTTAAAGGCTTTTAATTTTGCATGTTTAGGGTTGGTATATTTTTGAAGTAACTTGTTTTTGAAATTAATCTGGTTTAACGTTAGCCTCTAGTGATGTCAGCACTATGTTAATTCAGGCAGAGGATTCTTTCTTGGTAAAGCCAATTTGATCGAGCTTGGGCTTGTAAGAAAATTTTGGTAAGCTGATGTACTGAATAAGTATTAGGTATATTTGCTAAATTTGGTATAAAAGATGCTTGTATGATAGGGCTGGGGTTAAGATTAATTTGGAGTTCAAACGGTGGTGTGTAAGTTTTGAAAGGTTTTTTGTTTAAGAAATTGAATGTTATAGTTATTTCTTTGGCTATAATAATAGTATCTATTATTTGTTTGAGCCAGTTGAAGTTGTCTTTCTGCTGTTTATGCTAGTTATAGATTTCCATAGTAATAAATTGAAATAGTAGGATAAAATTTGTACTTATATTAATAACAGCCTTGGGTGGACTTATTGTTAGTATTAGTACAATAGTAGTGAGTATTGAGTAGATCAGTAAGTGCCAATTTGTATTTGTAATTAGCCAGGTCATTTTTAGATGCACAAAAGTGGCACATGCAGTTGGGTTATTTTTATATAGAGCAGACTTAGATATGTGAACCTAGATCTTTTTGTTGAAGTAAGTTTGTATGAACATAAACCATATTATGGGTTGGTTGTTGGTAAATATTTGTGAGAACCAATGGGCCATTCTGTAACTTGGTGTGAGTAGGCTGATGGGTGTTGGAACTGGGAGTGTATTTGCTTGAGTAATTTTGGTAAAGAAACTTGGTAAGTGGGCATAAATTTGATGTTTTTTGTTGATTTGAATTTGGTATAGCTGATTTGTTGAAAAATAAAATATGCAATTTGCTTTGTACAAGCTTTTTTTATTTTGAACACAGTCTGTACATCGTTTTAAAGCTTGTAATGTATGATCCAAGGTGTAATATTGTATTGTTGTTATATTATTTTAAATACTAGATATTTTATCTATGGATTTAGTGATGGTAATAGTCTAAGTATTTTTATGTAGAGAGATTTTTTATTAAAAAATGGGTTGGGATATATTAGATTGGTTAAAGTGTTGAAATTGTCATCTATTAGGGTTCAAATTGTTTGAAACCATTTAGATATTCATCACAAAGTTTGTCAAAGCACTTAAAAAATACTTGTTAAGTATTTGCTAAATACTTAATAAATACTTATTGGATCTAAAGTGTGTTGAGATGTAATTATAAGCACTTATTTAAAGTACTTAAAAAATATTTAAAAATTAAATATATTATAAATATAAAGCTTAATACAATTTAAAATTTAAAGTACTTTAATAATATTAAATTTAAATACTTATTTAATATTGCTGTTTAGTAAATACAATGTTGTGTTTGGTTCAATTTACTAATGCTTTTTTCACAGGGAATTTTATTTGTATTGTGGTAGAATTGTTTCCACTCTAGTAATTGGTTGTTATGAATGTCTAGGAATTGTTCAATATAACCTATACTATATTTGTTTAAGAATGTTTTAATTGCATGTAGTCATTGAAGCTGGCTGACCATATTGTTGATTGAGGTACTACTTGTATCATAAGTATGGGCCAACTATTTGCTTTGCATATAAGACTAATTTGTGTAAAGTAAGAATTGCTTGAGCTGTGTGGGTCTTGTTTTCACTACTTGGGAATACTGAGAGTTTCTTCAGAATCAATTTGTTGGTGTTTGCTGTATTTTGTAGCTGTTGAAATCTAATTTTGAGAGAAGATTTGTCAAAGTTTGAGAAGTTTAATATTTGGTCCAGAGTCAAGATATATTGTTGTTGTTGTATTTGCTTCAGTATCTTGAGTGTGTAGATGTCAGGATGGTGGATTGTAGAATTGGGTATTGATCTTGCCAGACCAGCCGGCCTTGTGTTTGACTAGACTTGTATATCTGTTAGTGGTTTGGGTCATTTGTGTGTTGTTAAGGTAAGTATATTGGAGTTGGTAAGCTGTATGAGCGAGTAAAATATTGTTTATAATATAGACAACTTGTTTTAGTATAATTTTTGAGTGTCTTAGTTTGTTAATACTATTGTTTATCTCTTTTATAATGTATTTTTGTACAGATCTGTGTATTGGGTCTTTGGAAAATCAAGTTCCAAGATGTTTGAAGATTGCCTTGGGTGGAATATTGTATATTATATCACCTAGAAAGTTAATTAAAGGTGCTATACAGTCATCATTAGTAATTAAAGTAGATTTATTGGGATTAACTTTAATGTTTGCATATTTTAGGAAAGAACTGATTATATCAAGGATTTGTTGCAATTGGGATTTGGCGATAGCTATCTATACAATATCATCCATAAAGGCTATTACCGATGTATTATGTATTGTTTTGCCTCAAAGAGATGTAGTTTTTAATATGTATCCAGAGATTTGTTTGCTAACTTTTGAAATAAGCGAATTATAATAAATATGCTATAAAATAGGGGAGATAGTCTTTCCTTGATCGATACCATTCTTGACTTGGTAAGAGGAGGTGAGTCCATAGTTTGTTATGACTTTGTTTTGATGTTAAGAGAAGATAAAAGATAGGAGATTAATGATATATAGTAGTATCTTTATCTGTTTGAGAGCCAGTGCAAGGAGTGGTATATGAACTGTATCGTAAGCCTTCGACATGTCTTGGACCAGAATCCAGTAAGTTTTGTTATTAATATTGCTATCTTTGAGTATATGTGATATAGTGAGTATAAGATCAAGTGTAGAGATGTAGGGTAAAGCTATATTGTTGTAGGGAGAGAAAATGTTATATTTGAGTAATATCTTGCTAAAATGCTGAGTGAGTATTTTGGTAAAGATCTTGTATGCATGTTTAATTAGTGTAATAGGGTGGGTTGTATTCAAGTCATTGTTGTAAGTAGATTTTTTCAGAATAGGCCAAACATTTGCTTGTAACCAAGCTGTAGGTATAGTTTGTAGGAGGAGACAAGTATTGAAGATACATAGAAATGCTGTATCATCAGTTGGGCCTAGGTGTTTAAGCATTTTATTTGTTATGTCTGTAGATCTTGATACTTTCTTTAACAGAAATTTAGTTAAGATTTCATTTAGTTCTCATATTATAATGAGTTCTGTCAAGGAATCATATATGTTAGCAGAGATATAAATTCTTGGTTCATATTCCTCTGCCCAGTCTGGTGCTAAGTTTATTTTTGAGGATTGGCTTTTGTCTAATTCTGAAAGTAATTGTGAGTAGCTTCTTTTATTTTAGATAGGTTAGTTATTATTCTATTAAGAGTGATTACTTTTTTGAAGTTGATGCAGTTGGTGTATTGTTGTAATACACTATTGATCATTCAAGTTGTATTGTTTTGTATATCATTGTAGCGTCTATTGATATAGTATTGAATTTTGTCTTTTTGGTTTTTTTTTACTTTTAGCTTGCATGCTTGCCAGATTGTGCCAGGGTAAAATTGCCACCCAAAAAAGTTTCAATCATCATATGACAAATATATTGAACACCAAAAAGTCATTTAACTTGAAATTAATAGACTAAAAAATAATAATAAACAATAAATTAATCATTTTGTTATTTTAAATAAACTCTATTTCGTATGGGCAGATTTTTTCGATTTGTGTAGATCATACCCCAAAAATTAGATTAATTCTGGTCAATTTTGTAGATCATTTGGCCTTTGGAGATGAGTTGGAGATAAGTTTTTCAAAGGCCAAATGATATATGTATTACTATGATTTTTCTAAGTATTCCATTGCCTTTTTGCAATAGCTTTATTATCGATCTATTTGTTACTATTTGGATTAATCATGTTTTCTTCAATAATTTTTTTTTGTTACATTCTGGATTCAGAATTATAAAGCTTTCAAATAAATAATCAGAGTTATAGTCTTCCAGAAAAGCATTCAAAATAACATCTATAAGATTTTCTGGTGTAATTGCATTTGCCTGATTAGTTTTTACAATTGGCTTCTTTTTTCATTTATCATTAGTGGAAATTTGGTTACGACAAACAATGTATATTTTTAGAATATTTTGGTATCAGATTTTATGTTTTTAAAGATTGCAATGGTCATTTTACATTTTGAAGAATCGAAGAAAACAAAATCATTTACAAAATCAATTAATACTTTATTAAATATTATTATCATGATCCTAATCATGATGAATTGACAATACCACATGATTTTTGAAACTTTTTTGGGTGGATTTTACCCTGGTCATTTTTACTTAATGGACGGATTGAGTAATTCCGGCCTAATTTTTTTGATCGTCGTTCTTAGCCAATCAAAATCGAGAATCTGCCGGTCCGATAACGTCTTGAATTTTTGAAACTTTGAGCGAAGTTATCTTGACAATCACCTGATCAAATTCAATGAATTTTTTTTTTTTATTTTGATTATATGAGTTTAGAAAAAAACTTTCATCGAATTTGGTCTGGTGGTTGTCGAGATATCTTTGCTCAAAGGTTTAAAGAATTATTTTGATAGGCATTTTGTAGTTTTTTTTTAAACTTTGAACAAAGATATCTCGACAACCACCTGACCAAATTCGATGAAATTTTTTTTATTCGAATCAACTAAAATTATATAATCAAAATAAAAAAAATTTATCGAATTTGGTCAGGTGGTTTCCGAGATATCTTTGTTCAAAGGTTTTGTTTTTTAAGGTTATTAAATGTGGGGGGTATGAAAATTGGCTCCCTACTCTTTAATGAATATTACATTAAATATATGTTGACATTATTTACTGAAATGGGATATATATTTGCAAATTAGTAGAAATGCCGATTTAAAAAAAAAGGAATAATTATACTAAAGATCTCTTAAAAATTCCGAATCAAAAATTATGTTCTCACTTACGACCTATGTATACTTTTATACAGTATACATGTTATTGTTTAATTCCAAGCTTGATACTAAATACACATTCTATGATGCATATAATTCTCTCTAAGTGCATACTGTAGCATAGTTTAATTCTATATTATCTATAAGAATTTTATATACAGTAAATTTGCTTTCTATAAATACGCTTTTTTTTTATAGTCTCTAAGAAAGTGCATATAAGAGGGATCTAATTACAATATCGTGTAGTTCTTTAAGCACACCCTCCCTAAGTGCACATATACAGTATATTTAGTTCCCATAGCGTGCACTTATAGAGGTCAAAAAATAAAACATATATACCGATACGGATGATCATATCGATAATCTACGACGCAGTATCTCGAGATCACGTTTTTCAAAATTTACACGATCCAGAGATTTTTTGTCAATACTGCTTCAAAAATTTTACTTGAAAAAAATGTCTCGTCTTCAAGAAGCCAAGATCGCAATTGAACAAAGTGCAGCACATTATCTTGAAGTAAATTAATTAAAAAAATTTTTTTTATTGGTTAGATAATTCGCTAATATTATCATTTTTAAATAAAGAAAATAACGCAGGATCCAACAGATAACAAAGCATATATTGCATTTGAGAATATCTTGGACGAATATTTATCCAATCCTATATATTATAATGAACAAGAACAGATCGAATTGTTAAATTGTATAAAAGATGTCACAGTTCCCTTAAAAGATGAAGAACAAAAGGCAGGATGTCATTTTTGCCATAATTTGCCAGAGGCCAACTTCTAATAATGTGATTAAAAATATCTAATAGATTCAACTTATGGACACGTTTTCTTGGAAAATTTTCTCTTTGTTAGTGCCGTTCTTGTCATCATACGAATCAACATCACTTATAGTTCAAGAAATTGTTGATGTTATGGCTCAGCTTAATGTTCGAGATATTCATGTGATACTTTTTGAAAGATTTAGTTTGCTTGATTGGGAAAATTCAGAAAATTTTGTATCTGAATTTACTGGATTAGTAAAGATACTCAGAATAGGTGTTATATCTTTAAATTGGTACTCGAAAATTTAAGCTTTGTAGATATTAACTCTATTGATAGTATTTCAGAGGTCTTTCCAGAAGCTTCGCCCAAAAATTTTTTCAAAATTTTTAGCTGAAACTTTCCAATATATTGTTAGGGCATGGCAAACATTAAAAACTTTAAATGATAAAAATTTAGATCTCGTAACTGAATGTCTAATCGGATTCACAGAATTTACAGTACAAACGATTAACCTTGACAGCAAGGTTAGTAATTATTAAGTCATGGACCGCACTCCAATCTGGTTGACTATTTCCCACAATTCGCTTTATAGGACCTTAAACTTAGCATCACACCAAATGATATACCCGATCAAGAATTTTTTTTGATCAATTATTTAATCGTACAATCTTTTGAAGAGTTTGTTCGATCCTTTTGCATACCAATGTCATCTATTTATTATGAAACTTTCCACCCAAAGTTCAATGTTCCATGGAAACAAAAACAGAGAGATAATGTTAGGTTGATTGATCAACAGCGACTAAGCAAATTGATCGTGAGTAACCTTTGATCACGACTTTTGATTAAGTTTGTAATATTAATTGATTTTCATTTCAGTGTGTTGCTGTCAAATCTCACATTTCCAGTAACCAATTGGTGAATTATATTATCCAGGCGAACGAAAAAGTCATTGGTAATTTAAATGTTACTTGCCCTAAATTAACAATTATTCGATATTTATCGTCTAAAGTATTATATATAACTAAGACAGCAAAGACCATGTAGAAGATGACGGCCAGGAAGTGACACCAGAATATATTGACTCGGTGTTCGAAAATAAAGATATTTCAAAGCCTAAATTCGATACTTCCGAATATCCTATTTCTCCAAGAGGAGTAATTTCTTATTTAGCATCAGTCATTTATTATAAGTCCATGGCACTTAAAGGATCAAACACTCTCAAAGATGTATTTTCAGAATCTCCAGAACATATGTTTAGAGAAATTATACCTATTGCTTCTATAGTGTTTATAAAGTAAGAATATTATACAATTTTATTTTCATATTTCTATGTATTTTATCATAATTTGATATTATAATATCATGAATAATCGATATTCGCATTTTCCTTTTTTAAAGACATTCTCAAGAGACCGAAATAATTGACAAGGTATTACTGGTGCTACTTTATTTGGCTGAGAGGAATGAAGAAAGCACCATCACGATGCAACACTTGACTGCAAGTTTGTCAAAGGATGAAATAACCCTAGGTTCATTATTCACGGTACTAATTAATTATTTCTATTAATATATGTTATAAATAAATTCTCATTCTAATAATATTTTTTTTAGATGATTTCCTCTTTTGCATCAGCTTCACCCGAAGAAACGTTGCGCTTCAATGCGCATCAATTATTATCTAGGATTATTGCATTGTGTACAGATGATACCAGAATGTTTTTATTGCAGCAGTTATTAATGAACAGTCCGTTTGAACAGATGAAAAGCGCTGCAATTGGTATCTTGAAAGAGAATGTTGCTCAGCGCTTGAACCAAGCTTATGATAGAAAGCATGACGAAGTACGTGCTGTGTTGAGTTGAATTGACCTTCTTAAGGGTGCTAATTGGTCCTGAAAGTTCCGTCGAGTGCCTATGGATTCTAACTTATTGGTTCAGTGAACTAATTGAACTAAACTGAGCCAAATTGAACAAAATTTTGAAAATCCTCAGGAATCCGAAGGGACATGAAAGGATCTTAGGGCTGATTAACATTCATACCTTCCTTGCATGCATTAAAATCATAAAATTTAACTTGTTAATTAATACAAGCTCTCCGCGTCCGTTTTCGCGAGTCCGTACTTGATTGAAGGATTTTTCCCTACTATTCTTCGATTAAAATCTATCATTCCTGCTGAATCGATTTCAACAGAGGATCAAGAAACAGAATTTGAAGAAAAACATAGTTTTATTATGCATGGAATAAATTTTTATCTGTTTTTATTAATGAGAGATGAACAAAACAAGGTATTGTACATATTAATTGACATTTGTTCCCTTTTTATTTTTATTTGTTAGTAGAATTATACATGTTATGTTATTTTATAGACAGGTGTTTGGAATTCAAATCAATTAAAACAAACAAATGATGAATATTTGGTTCCAGTAATGACTAAATGTGAAGATTTGATGTCCAACTATGAAAAACGCCTAAAAGAATTGAATCAACCATGTCCAGGTATAATGTCTAATTTCATATAATATATAAAATAACAAGTTTACTAAAACACACCAGCAGTATTTAACATCTTATCTGCTGTATTTCAATACAAATAAATGATTGATGTTTGACGTTCTAAGTAGCGTGTTTAACGCCCCAATATTTTAAATTTAATTTTTAATTCAATTCTACCGTTCAATAATTAAATTATTATAAAAATACATATTGATAAAAGTATTGAGTGTGTGTTTTACTATTATTATAAACGAGACTTTACTAAAGTATTAAAATTTTAGACAATTTATTTATATAAAGAGACATCTAATATTTAAAAAATTAATATTTTAGATAAAGATGATGAGAATGTTGATATAAATGCTAAATCAGAATTAGTTCAAGAGCGAGAGGTAACAAAATTTTGTATTTTTGAAGATTTTTTTTTTTAAAATTTATTAATTTTATTAATATTTATACAATTTTATTTACAAGTTATTACAACAGAAATTATTTAATATGTATCTTTTACAAGATGCTATTAAAAGAGTTTATCAAGTAATTAAAAAAGCACCAAATAATTAAATAAAAGAATATTAATAGTTTTATAAATACTGTATATATTTATTATGCAGTACAAAATTATACTTTCCTTCCAAATCCCAAACTACTATAGTTTGGGTTGGTTTGCGCACAAATTTCAATTTCTGGTTAAATTACTATAACATCTTGAAAATCAACAATTTTTTATTTAAACAATATACTAGCGAATTGACCCGTCTAAAAAATCTTCCCCAGTATCGCCACCAAAAAGTTACAGACACGTGATCGTATTGCGGTAAACCAAAAAATCTTTAAATTCGTTTAGGGCCTATGCTAAGGTTAGGATCGGAGGTGTTTTAATAGTAAAATCGCTCAAGGAAAACTTTTTGTTAATGCACTAAAGGTGGTTACGTTTGTCCTGATCGTGTTACGTTACACTTGATCTTGAGATCTGATTGGTTTACGATCACGTGCCCGTAACTTTAGTCTCCCTTTTATTAAAATCTAAAGTCTGCAAGAGTTTTATATAATAAGGAAGAAGAATGCTCCAAATTAGTTCAAAGTTAATATAAAAATACAACTAAGTTTTGCTGGGTAGAGATTTGACCCGTTATAAATTTCTTATCCGGGTTACCCGCCCGTCTAAAAAAGCCTTACCCGGGTACAAAACCGATTTGTTAAAAATAATCGAGTAACCCGGGTTACCCGGTTATTTATATCTAAATTTTTAGATATTTCGAAACAAGCGGCAAGCCAAAGGTTTTACATTATCGTTATATGTAGGGATGGGCAAAATGGCATTTTTCCCTACCATGCATGCGCATGGTATGCTGCATACATGCATGCATGCATGCATATTATATGCACTATAGTTTAAATATATATGTGATCTTTAACAATAAATAACTTTTGTTTCAC